ATACCACTTAACCTGTTTTCTTAGGGACAATAATTTCCTTTTAAAGACCAAATAATATTTTATTTTCAATTTTTCGTGATTAATGTTTCTTCATTTTTAAGTAGAGCCAAGTTTTTAAATATTCTTTTATGGTGCTATTCTTAAATAGTCAATGGCTCATGTTATAATAATGCAAGTGTTTATATTTTTATAAGTTTGTAATTTTACTTGATTTTTGTGTTGTTTATAATTTTCATATTTAAATTGTTTTAAGTATTTAATTTCACTTTTTAAAATTTTATGAATTCTAATATACAATATTAAATCAAAGTTACCATACTGTCTTTCTGCTCCAGCATGGTAATCACAATTAGTATGTCACACAGCTAGCATGGTCAAGATTAGAACCCAAGGACTCTAAATCTAGTTCCCTTTTCACTAAATCATGCTGCCTTATCATGGTTCCCAGCAAAATTAACAGCTTCATTGTAAAAGGATTATGTGTCACCTCACATCTGTTAGAATGGCTATTATCAAAAAGACAAAAAGTAACAAGTGTTGGTGAGGATGTGGAGAAAAGGGAACCCTTGTTGGTGGAAATGCACATTGGTGCAGCCACTCTGGAAAACAGTATGGAAGTTGTTCAAAAAATTAAAAATAGAACTACCATATGATGCAGCAATTCCACTTCTGGGTATTTATCCAAAGGAAACAAAAATACTAATTCAAAAAGATATATGCACCCCCACGTTCACTGCAGCATTATTTACAATAGCAAAGACAGGGAAGCAACCTAAATGTCCATCAAAGGATGAATGAATAAAGAAAATGTGGTGTATATATATACACAATGGAATATTATTCAGCCTTAAGAAAGAGAAAATCTTGCCACCTGTGACAACATTGACGGACCCTGAGGGCATTATGCTAAGTGAAATAAGACAGAGAAAGACAAGTATCATATGATCTCACTTATATGTGGAATCTAAAAACAAAAACAAACCAAACTCATATATAAGGAACAGACTGGTGGTTGCCAGAGGCAGGGGGTTGAGGGGGTAGAAACGGGCGAAGGTGGTCAAAAGGTACAAACTTCTAGTTATAAAATAAGTCAGTCATGGGGACGTAATATACAGCATGGTGACTATAGTTAAAAATATTGCATTGTATATTTTAAAGTTGCTAAGAGATCTTACAAGTTCTCATCATAGGAAAAAAAATTTTATAACTGTGCAGTGATGGATATTAACTGGATTTATTGTGGTGATCATTTCATAACACAAATATCTAATCATTATGTTAGTAAAACTAATATATGTGAATCATATCTCAATAATTTTGAAAAAGGATTATGTTTCAAATTTTATACTTCCTCACATACTGTAATATATTTAACTAATACTTGGCACCTAAATGTAACTTCCCACATACTAAAACACTTTCTTATTTATCATGACTCATACAATTACAAACGGGATTATGGTGGGGAAGAAGATGGTGAGGGTGCAAATACACGAAAATCCATGATTTGTGAAGCACAGTGTGAGGCACTGTGGAGAAATCAAAATAAAACACAGTAAAAAACAAAGGCTTCAGGGAATTTATAATCTGGTAAGGAAAATAAATTATGACCACAAATATAAAGAAAAACTATGAATACTTTATATATTCAGAGGCAGTAATCTTTTAAAAAGTGTTCAAGAATGGACATGATATAATAAGTAGAGCTCATTTATTCATTCAGCAATTAGTCATTCAGTACTTTCTGTGGTCTAGCCATTGATCTAGGTAGGGGGTATAACAGTGAATACAACAGGTATGGTTCCCATCCTCATGTGGAGAAACAAATAAATAACAAATCAATATAATTATTCTGGAAAAAGTTATGAAGAAAAGGCCTTTTAAATTGTGTATCTATATGCAGTGGAAAGTGGGAAGATTGGCCAGGTAAGGCCACACTAATGAATAAAGCAACATTCAGGCTAAGATCTAGAGGATGAGAAATCAGCCTTTCAAATTGTGTGTGTATGTATGTGTGTGTGTGTGTGTATGGTGGCGTGAAGCAGTTTAAGCCCAGGGAGGCAGCATGTGTAAAGACTATGGCAGAAAAGTACAATGGCACATCTGACAACTCAAAAGACCAAGTTGACTGAAACTTGGTGAGCAATCAGAAAAACAGCATAGATGGGGTTGGAGAAATAGGCAGCGATGTGATCCCACAGATCTACGAAGCAGGATGTTCAGGATATGTTGGAGGAAAAGCAAATATATTAATTTGACTAAAGTACAAGGTTAATGAAAAACAACATCTGCACATCACCCTCATGTAGAAAATCTTAATTTAATTCTTACTACACAGTAAGAGAAGTAATGTTTCCCTTTAATGGATGAAGGAATAACAGGCTCAGAAGGACTAAAGGCCTTGCTAATAAGGTCACATTGCTAATAAGCTAAGTCACAAATCCCAGACATTCTAACCCAAGTCAAACCAGTATCCTTTCTACTACACAATAAGTGGTAACGAGAAAAATAAGGTGAAAGAAACAAACCAGATTAAAAGTCAGGCTAAGGGGCCGGCCCTGTGGCTTAGCGGTTAAGTGCACGCACTCTGCTACTGGCAGCCCGGGTTCGGATCCCGGACACGCACCAACGCACCACTTCTCCGGCCATGCTGAGGCCGCCTCCCACATACAGCAACTAGAAGGATGTGCAACTATGACATACAGCTATCTACTGGGGCTTTGGGTGGGTGGGGGGAAACAAGGAGGATTGGTAACAGATGTTAGCTCAGAGCCAATCTTCCTCACACACACACAAAAAAAGTCAGGCTAAGGAATATGGGCTTTATAATGGAAAATGGAAGTGACATCAACTAAAAAGATGATTCTGATTATCTCGATAGTGAATACAGAATACTTCCCAGAGAACATCCTTTATGCAAAATAATTACCATATCGGGGCCGGCCCCGTGGCGCAGCGGTAAAGAACGCCCACGCCGTTGTGGCGGCCTGGGGTTCACAGGTTTGGATCCTGGGTGCACACCGACGCACCGTTTGTTAAGCCATGCTGTGGTGGTGTCCCATATTAGAGGAAGATGGGCATAGATGTTAGCCCAGGGCCAATCTTCCTCAAGAAAAAAGGGGAAGATTGGCATCAGATGTTAGCTCAGGGCTAGTCCTCCTCATAAAACAACAACAAAAAAAAACCAAAAAAAATAACTACCATATCTATATCTACATATTTTTTGGTGAAAGTTGTCCTATCTCTGAAGGACCTTGTTCTTTTCACATGAAAGTTAGTATACAGCAGATCAAGAGCCTAGATATACTTTCACAGCAAATCCAGATGTGTCTGATCATGTCTTGAGTGTTCCAAGGAGGTAAGCAGAGGGATAGTGCCTGGGAAGCTGAGAAATAACCCCCAGGACTATGGTCTCTGTGTAGATGCTATAGGCGTCTTAGAGAATCCATTTCCCCTTTGTTCACCTCCATTTCTTTTTTCCATTATTAGGACTGACCCCACTCCTAACTCCATGGGTGGGTCCTGGTAAGTTTAAGCTAATCATTGTTTCCCACTGTTTTGTCATAGCAATTGTTTCAGGAATGACAACCCACCTTCAGTCAATGTGAGAGAGTGAATTCCAGGACCTGAATGGAAGCTTCTAGAAGAAATGCTCTTGCTTCCTCTGTTATGAAGATTTGAAACTGGGAACCACCACAGACATTTAGTCATGATAAGGGGAAAGCCTGGTTTCTGTATGGAGCCCAAGGATGAAGCTGATGCCACAGAGGCAGAGCAGAAGGTAGAGACGAATTGGGACTCTGGTAACACTGAGCTCCTGGTTCAAGCTTGCCCTGAAGACAGCGCTAATCTCTGAACTTTGCAGTTATGGGAGCCAATAGCTGTGAATGTGTGATCAAATATTTCAAGCATACAAATGAGTATAGAGGGTAATATAACAAATCCCCATTTACGCACCTCCTATAATGAAAAATATAACTTTTCTTACTTGCATCAAAGTACAGTCTTTTTCCCAAAGAATTAAAGCATAACAAACAGCATAGGAAGTAGCTTCTTATGCTTCTGTAGTACCATTATCCTTTCTTCTTTGATAATTTTGCTAGAATTTGTCTTAGTGTGGCCGTTCTGGGTTTGTTTTTCCTTTTTTAGCTATACGATATACCCCTTCAATATGTAGTTTAATTTTTAAAAATTGTGGTTAAATATACATAACATAAAATTTACCATCTTAACGGTTTTTAAGTTTACAGTTCAGTAGTATTAACTGTTGTGTATTGCACTGTTGTGCGACCAATCTCCAGAACTTTTTCATCTTATAAAACTGAAGCTCTATACAACTCCCTATTCCCTCTTCCCTCAGCCTCTGGCAATATAATTACCATATGTTATATCAATCATTTTTACACTGTGTTCTCCAGAAGAATAAGACTGTATGTGTACCTGTGTAGCTGGGGACAGGAGGACGCTAAGTACCATGTTTATCAGAACATACCTACTTTAATCTGTTTGAAAAAGAATTCTGTTCTTTGAAAACCACAGATTATACAGGAATCAACCTTGGTTGCAAAATCTTACTGTGAAGATCTAAAACCTACTGGAAGCAGAACCTTTCTTTCACCCATCATATGGCCTATGATAACTATTTTAATAAGCATGCTAATTTCTTTTCAGCTTTTCTGCTAAAAGCCAACCATAAACTCCTACAGTTTATTAAAGGCAACTTCAGGTAAGATATTTGCCTCCACACTTTTAGAAATAATATATACACCTACCATAAAGTCTCTTTGTATGTTAAGGCATTATAACATTAAAAATGTAAGGTAAATATATTCTAATACTACTATAAACTGTTTCTCAATTACTAAAAACATAGAGTTTGACATTAAGGCAATATTTTTATGTACCTAATAATTACTCAAATGGTCAATATCTATTACAAAATCTGCAAGTTAGCAACATCATGAGTACACAGAATTGGTTATGTAAATATGCACACATACCTTTATCCTTCTTAAAATCCAAAGCATCTTCTTTGTCGGTCACTATTTCCTTCATATTGATAATACTCTGATGGGTAAGCTGCCGGAGAATTTTAATTTCTCGAATTGCTGTAATCGGAAAGCCTTCCTTTTCATTATCTAGACGTACTTTTTTTAAGGCTACCATCTCTCCTATTAGAAAATTAAATAAAATGAGGTTAACCAGCTGACAAAACCAAATGACATTTTTCTTAATTTTAAATTTATTTTAATTCATAATTTATGTTCCTACCTCTTGAAATCACAACTCACAAAATATATCTTAGTTTCCAACATACCAAATTATACTGTTTATAGTTCAAGAAATTAAGTCTCTGGTTAAATAAATTATGGAATATTTATCCAAAATGTAGAATATTATGCAACTGCTAAAAAAGAAGGGGTAGGTCCATATGTATTGTTATTTCATGCTCTCCAAGATATACTAAATGAAAAAAGCAAGATGATGAAGAGTTGACACATTACACTGCCATTGTTTAAAAAGTGAAAGAGGGGAGGATAAATATACCCAATATGCTTATATATGCATAAAATCTCTCTGAACAAATGAGAAAATTCTGTACATTTTACAGGTGAGAAAATATGCTCAGACATATTAACTTGCCCAAATTTGCCAAGTTACCCAGTAGTAAAACTGAGATCCAAAATCTGGTTTAGCTGTCTCAAAAGTATGTGCTCTTCCCAATACATTAAATGGTCTCATAATTTAGATAGGAGTGAGTTTTGTATCAGATAACATCTAAACACTAAATAAAGCACACACACACAAATCCTATTATAAGAAAAAATTCACTATAATAAAGGTTTGTTCATTCTACTTCTTTGGAGAAAAAAGGAATCCTGAACTTAAAATTTTCCAAAAGAAGGATGTTTATCCTTTTAATCATTAAAACTTATTTGATTCTTTTTTATGGAAGTCTAAAATGTAGTATGATTCCTTGTTTTATTAAACAGCTTTAAAAAAATTATAATTTAATCTCTTTTTGATAATGTAGAATCATCATTATAAATATATGCTTTAATTGCCTTCAGGAGTTTCTAATAAGGTAGTTTCCCCTATACTAAATGGCCTCAAATAGCTATGCTATTTTAATCTATTGATTTATTTCAGCAAGGGATTATAAGTAAAGATTAAACACCGGCTCTATGCATTATTTAGTAAAATACAGAGCCTCTGAGTTACTTTTTCCTCAGCTGCAAGGCCTTTTAAAACTTTCTTTCAGGTTCCTATGTTCTGAAAGATTAACCTGCTAAATCTGGCCTACAAATAAAGGGTAATTTCTACAGAAAAAAACATATTTTGGACAAAAATAAGTTTTGCACAAGGCTTAATACAACAAAAGTTACCACTAAGACTGATTAATAATTAAGGTCAAGATACTTTTTACCCTTGATTATTAATGACATAAGAATTTCTTCACCATAAAAGAAAAGAAACCTAAATCCCACGTCACAATACTAAAGAAACACTTTAAAAAATATATAGGTATATGCACCCACTTATAGGTACCCATATCTTACATAAGTACACATATAAAATAAAATAAAAAACAAGATGAAACAAAGGCAAGATAAATTCGAGTTTAGGGGCCAGCCTGGTGGCGCAGCAGTTAAGTTCGCGCACTCTGCTTTGGCAGCCTGGGGTTCAGATCCTGGGCGCGGACCTCCTCACCGCTCATCAAGCCATGCTGAGGCGGTGTCCCACACAGAGGAACTGGAAGGACCTACAACTAGGATATACAACTATGTACTGGGGGCTTTGGGAGAAAAAGAAAAAAAAGAGGAAGACTGGCAACAGATGTTAGCTCAAGGCAAAGCTTCCTCAAAAAAAAGAAATTTAGAGTTTAACTTTTTTTTAATTTGTGTTTAATTTGTTTAAACACAAATTAAGCACATTCCACAGGTCCAAAGAGCCGCAGCATTTGGCATTCTTACCAGTGTCTTTATCCCTGGCCTTGTAAACTTGTCCATAGGTACCTTCTCCAATAATTCCGATGATATCAAATTTATCCACGCAGCGTTTTCCCCAGTCAATATCTTTTTCTTTGATTTCACCATAGCGAGGCCCACATATTCTATCAAATATAGTTCTGAAGTTTTTATATACAATCAAGCAAATTGAATAAACTGTTTAATACTCAATATCCACCCTCCACCCAATCTTATATCCTTTATTTCCCCCCACCCTTGCATATTTGTGAACATCTATCTAGAACAAGTAACACTGTGATTTGGTATTATAAGTTATCATGAAAGTCAAGGTATCATTTCTCCATATTGACTCTTCTTCTGAAGACTAACAATTAAACCGGGAAAGAGAAGAATTAAAGCTTGTATGAAGCACTTCAGAAATAAAATGTAATTTTTCAGTGAGTGGATAAAACCAACACTAATACAAAGAGTCAAAGTTCTCTAACCAACCTCCAGAATGTTTTCTTTTTCATTCATTTACAATATATGTATCTGCTTTCAAAAAACAAAAATTTGATAACGAACATTACCAAAAATCTAACTATACAGCTTACTGACAAATTTAGACTTATGGCTAGATGAAATTATCTTAAAAATGGAAACACTTTTAGTGTTTTAGTCTGAGACTTTTAGTCTGAGAGTATAAAAGTATTAATATAATCAACTGTCAGGAATCCACACTTTAAGTACATGTGTGTATTATATATATATGACAAATATTTGACATTCTTCAAAAAGATTTGCAATTTTGTAGTATTTTAATATTCTGGTAGGTAATAGAAACTTAAGTAAAAGAATAAAGCTACAACACTCAAGGAGAGTCTATTTTAAAAGTTTTCTAGCTTTCTACTCCATACTAGAAAATCACCCTTACACTAGGCACTACCTGAACAGCAATTCTAAAATCAGATCTAACTCAGTCTTACTCACACTTCCCCTTGGTTAAGTACAAATAAAAAAAGAAATCAATGTTCTCCTCCCTTAACTGATGAACAGGTTTCGAGGGAAAGAGTTATCTCTAGGCACTTACTTGAAGCTAATTTAGGATACAGATTTCAAACCTTCTTCCACTCCACCACCTCTTGAGAAATGAAGAATGCCTTTAGTTATGGGAGCAAAGGAAGCTAAAAGCAAAGGAAAACATAGCAGCTTGCCCATTACTAATTTTGTTTGGGCTCACTGAATGCTGACTTCCATCTTGTCCAATTTCAGTGTTTCTGTGTTATTTAAATATCTTAATTACAAAAATTATCTTTAACACATATAATACCCCAAGAAATTAATACATTACAAATTGTGAGGGAAAATTAAATTTGGTTTTATTAGTCATTTTGAATAGGTATGCAGGCAATTATGAAAATTTTTTTCAAAACTCTAATAGAATTTATTCATATACTTAAGATGAAAGAATAAATACACTTTTATTATTTTATATCTTAATTTTGTGTTTTATGATTTTACGATGATCCAGAATCACCTCTGGTCAATTTAAGAGCAGGTAGAAAGCAAGCACATACTTAGGCCTCCTTTTACTATGTAACTGTGTTGCTGTTTTCTTTTCCTCTGGACTCTTTGAGAGATCATCTCCGCCTGGTAGCTCAGGGGGCAGTGGTAAATCAGCAAGTAGACATCGTAGTTTCTTTTCTACTTCTTTTTTAACTGCTTTTACTGAAATATTTCCTCGTAAGCTAAAAAAGAAAGGAGTCAGACAAATAAACAAAACACAAAAATGTATTTCACGGAGAAGTAAAAATGCAACCATGTCTTACATTTAAGTAGAATGCAATGGCAAAATAAACTGAGTTTCTTTACTTTCCAGCTAAAATAATATACTATATCCAACTGCAAAATACAAAATTTGGGGGTAAAAATGATAATTAGATAAAAAAAGAAAATCTGAACAAAGTATGGACTTTAGTTACTAATAATGTATCAATATTGGTTCATTAATTGTAACAAATGTACCATACTAGTTAACTAAGATGTTAATAATGAAGAAACTGAGTACAGGGTATATGAGGACTCTCTGTAGTATTACTGCAATTTTTCTGTAATTCTAAAACTGTTCTAAAAAAATAGTATATTTTAAAAAATGATATACAATTACTATAAAACTATAAATTAAAAGTGAAAGTTAGGGGCTGGTCCGGTGGCATAACGGTTAAGTTCGTGTGTTCCGCTTTGGCAGCCCAGGGTTCGCCATGCTGAGGCAGCATCCCACATAGAAGAGCTACAACTCCTCAACTATGACACACAACTATGTACTGGGGCTTTGGGGAGACAAAAGGAAAGAGGAAGACTGGCAACAGATGTTAGCTCAGGGCCAATCTTCCTCAAAAAAAACAAAACAAAGTCAACTAGTCACGCTTTACAGGAAAATTCATTAGTTTTGTAATAGCATTTGATTTAATTCTGGTGGAGAGACAAAAACTGGTTTGTTGTAAGAAATAAATAAAACTACATCCTACTATTTATCTTGCCTGTTTAAATAACCACAAACACCTAATTTAGCTTCACCCTTTTGCAGGGTTAATTCTTCTAAATTGGACAGTGATTCTTTAAAAATTTTTTAAGGCTCTAGCTTACTAGCATTACAGGTGAAAGTTTAAGCTCAGCTAGTTTTGTACTTTTTATGACTACATAAAAAAAATAAATACATAAAGAGCTCTGATTTTTAAAGTATATCTTAACTTGGTACTTACTTTAAACCTCCCAGATATTACAAAATCTGTTTAATAATATGACATGTTGAAAGAGAATCTTATAATGATAATATAATTTGGACTTCACATACTTTCGTTGCAGTTATGAAAAAGTTTAGTGAGACTACACTGCTGTAGTCAGAAACTGCTAATGATGTTATCAATGTAAATCATTTTATTTTAATTATTACTTCTATTCATGTTGAATATTAATATTATTGTACAACAAATGGATCCTTTAATACCATCTGATAAAAACTATTTATCAGTAATCCTAATAAAATTGTGCCTTATCTTTATAACCTCATGGTACTCACTAGCAGGTTCTTTAACGGGGAAAACATGAAGGAAACTGGTTTACAGTTACAGTTACAGCCCACTTTTCAATTTTAATGTCCCTCCATTCAACAAATACTGATTGTACACTTCTATGTGCTAGATATTATGTAAGGCATTGGAGTTTAACAAGAAAAACAATAACAAATACATTAAGATACAGTTCCTCTCAGAAAGGAGCTTACAGTCTTTTGGAAGGCAGTCAGGTAAGCAGCAGGATAAAGTACTATACAAACCAATTCCCAGAGCAATGTGGTAGCTAAATCAAGATTGAAAGACAGTAAAAGCTTCTTTCTAGAAAAGGTACCACTTGAACTCTGTCTGAAAATAAGCCAATTTAAAATAATTTATTTAGAAAACTGTAGTCTCATTTAAAAAAAAAAAAAAGAAAACTGTAGTCTCTAATTTGTAATTAGGCTTCAAAAATTCTTATTTTTCTAAAGATTCAAATCAACATTTTGGGGGAAAAAAACTAACAGTGTTACTTTTACTTACAACTTAAAATTTAAAAGACTGTATTCAAATATATCATTGTATGAACTATCAAATTCAGCAAGACTCTCAGACTTAAGAGAAATAAAATATCACTTTCCAAGAATAACATTATATAATTAAAAACACCATATTTTCACTGAATACTTGCAACAACCAAACAAGAAATGTGATTTAAAAATGTTTCTATATACTACAGCAGTAAAAACAACAAAATGCCTTAACGAGAAGGGTACAAGACCAACAGAAGAACATTAAAAGATATGACTGATGAACACAAAACTAGATCTGAATGAACAGAAAGAAACCATGTTTCTGTATGGGAAACTGTAATACAGTAAAGCTGTCAGTCTCCAACTTAACCTATTACATTTAACAGAGTCCCAAGCAAAACCGGAACAAGTTTTTTAAAAACAATTTGACAAGCTGACTGACTATAAAATTTGTCTAAAAATAAAGGCAAAAAACTGCCAAGAAATTTCTAAAAAAGAATAAAGAAGTGGGATTTGCCATGTCATATGGTTTACCTGTTTAAAAGATCCCAAACTAGACACCAATGGCTGCTTAAAGTTAAAGAATATGTATTACTGTCTACCCAATGTTTTGTAAAAACTGGGAATTGTCAATATTTTTAAATCAGAAGATTTACATAACCATTCAGATTCCAGGCTTCTTTAAAAAATCAAAAGCTCTAGCAACACTGAGCCCAAATTCATGTACAGCAGCACTGAAGTTGTGGTTGAAAAGCAGGGCTATTTACTAATCAGTAATTTACTCCATCCTTTCACTTTTACATTACCTGCCTACCGCTGTAATATAAATTTGAGTCTGAGAGCCAATATACCAGGCATCTAAAGAAGTTAAAACAGAAAAGTACTGGCAAAGAAATAATAAGACATGTTAATAAAAAAGAGACTCCAGAAACACATAAATATTTATAAGAATTTTTATATATGGCACCACAAATCAGTGAGGTGGATTATTCAATAAACGATGTTAGTAACAACTAGACCTATTAGTCCACAGGGTGATGGGGAAGAGCAGATAATCAGACCATGCCTTTCTTCTTACAATAACCAAAAACAAATTTCTGTGAAATTTGAGTTAATCCTTTTTTAACTTTATAATCTCATAAGTGTTAAAGGAAAAATGATATATCTAACTACATTATAAAATGGGAAACATCCAGGGGCTGGCCTGCTGGCATAGTGGTTTTATTTTTTATTTTATTTATTTATTTATTTATTTTTTAAAGATTTTATTGATTTTATTATTTTCCCCCCAAAGCCCCAGTAGACAGTGGTACGTCATAGCTGCACATCCTTCTAGTTGCTGTATGTGGGACTCGGCCTCAGGATGGACGGAGAAGTGATGCCTCGATGCGCACCCGGGATCCGAACCCGGGCCACCAGCATCGCAGCGCGCGCACTTAACCACCAGGCCACAGGGCCGGCCCTGGCATAGTGGTTAAGTTCACACGCTTCGCTTCAGTGGCCCAGGGTTCGCAGGTTTGCATCCTAGGCGTGGACCTACACACCACTCATCAAGCCATGCTGTGGCAGCATCCCACATACAAAATAGAGGAAGACTGGCACAGATGGTAGCTCAGAGACAATTTTCCTCAAGCAAAAAAGAGGAAGATTGGCAACAGATGTGAGTAGTTAGCTCAGGGCCAGAAATTCTCATCAAATTAAAAAAAAAAAAAAAAAAAGGGGAAACATCCATACAGCCAAAAACAAAACAATAAATGTTAAAGAAAAGCAACAGACTCTGAGAGGCAAAGGTCAGGATCTCTAACACAGGGAGCACATACAAATCAATTAGAAAAAGGAAAATAATCTTAAGGAAAAGACAGCATAAGACATGAACAAGCAACAAGGAAAAAATAGCCAACAAATGTTTAGAAAGATGCTGTATCTCAATAATCAGAAAAATGCAAAATTAAATAATTATACATTTTAAAGTTTGTCAAAAACTCAAAATTAAAAACATTCAGTGTTGCTGAAACAATTTCATACATTTGGGTGCATAAATTGGTACACAGTCTCATTAACATACAACTGGGAAGTTTCTATCAATTTTAAATGTGCAGACTTTGGCCTTGCAACTATCCTACAAAAATTGCTCACATGCACATAAAATATTAATATATAAGAAGAGTTTAATTGCAAACAATTATAAATCTGAGTATCCATTAATCAACAGCAGAATAGTTAATAAGAGCATGATGCATCCATTCCTCTAGATAGGAATACTGAACCTATCGATACCAACATGGAAAGATCTCCAACATATTAAATGAAAAAAACAACTCAAGAAATATTATGCATAGTATGATCTTAATTTTTTTTAAAAAGAAAACAATTTATTATATGAAAACATACAGTTAACAGTCTATCTTATGATTTTCAGCGAGTAATGGATTCCAGGTCTGGGAGAGAAGCAAAGTTCAAAGTGAGCCTAAAAGATACTATTTGGCTAGGAAGCAAGGAAGCACTCAAAAACAAATGGAGTCATGTCAAAAGGACAAAAGAGTCAGCTTCAAAGACTTCCCACTGGCCAAATTCAGACAACTGGAGCATCAAAAAGAGTGACTGTAACTGGTGTTGAATCAATCTTTGGCCACATATGTCAGTAGCAGTACTCAAGAGTCTTAAGAAACTTCTATATCCATGAAACATACAAACACATTCAAAGAAAGAAAAGCAGAGAACAACAAACAAAAGAGAGAAGACACAGAAAAGAAGGTGGGTCAAAAAAATTTTTCTAATGACCAAGTATGAAATGTGCCACCATCACCATCTCATTAAAAACAGATGCACAAAGAATATCCTCTTTAAGCATTCACATGGGTACGTCCTGAGTTTTTGAAAATATCACCAGTAAAAATTCACCCCTAAAGTATATATGAAGAATAAAGTAGAGAACAACCAGTCTCACTGGTCCAGAATCACCGGATTCTTGACAACTCGGTTATTCTCTCACTAATGAAGTGACTCAATTCTGCACTCATGCCTCTCTCTCTGTGTGCTGGAGAGCCTATTCCAGGACTCATCAAAATCACAAATCACTACTGTTTTGAACCTTTAGTGTCCCTAGAGAAGAGTCAAACCTGCAAATACCACAGAGTAGTATAATTGGATAACACACCTAATTAAATTGGATGGGGTCTCTCGGCAACATTTTTGACCGGAGAAACAAGATGCCTCAGAGGGCATGAAAACAGGAATTTTTGTTTGTTTCAAATTATAAAATTTCCATAATGCTAGCCAAAGTGAGCACTTGAAAGACTTGCCCACATGGCATTTTTATCCACTTGTTTCCAAATTCTATAAAGATGTCAGATAGAAAAATTGTCCATATGGTTGCTTTCTGACAGAAAGTAGGGGGAGAAAACAGTTCTGATTTCTTCATAAAAATAAAAATGAAAAAGGTTAAGTGCTATAATATGGAGATATCACACGATAGCATAATGCTTCTATGCTAGCATACATTTTAGAAACATTCTTAGAACTACATTTACTTTACGGTCACTCTTACCAAATAAAAAACGAGTCATACTCCCAATATTCACAACAGAAATTTGTAAACATGTTAAAGGAAAGCATAACCACATTATAGGTTTTCTGTAATATGTAATTAATCTCTAATAGCAAAAAGTTAAAAGAGTCAAGAAAAGACTAAAAAGTGATAAATTCATAAAGCCATCTAAAGTGATAAATTTATAAGGCCACTGTAGAAACTTGGAAATAACCAACATACATGCTTTATACCATCTAGGGCAGACTCGCTCATAAAATGTCCTGTCTCTGACAATATCATCAAGGAATACTAAGCTAAAGAAAATACTGGCATTTCTAACTCCCGAATTCAAACTGAAATATACATTGTACCTCAAGGCAACTGCAAATTTTTCCTGGAATTCTTAGCATAAACTATGATTTTGTCACTTTACAACTATAATTTACAAGCAATGTGCTTCATTTTAAGACGTACATAATAAAGAGAATTAATTAATTTACTTACAGTCTTTGTTTAATAAAGTTTTTTTTTGAGGGGGTCAAATAATTTCTCACTTCAAACTTGCATTTTTTTTCTTTAAATAGTATTGACAAAATTTTTTGTTCTTACCTATCAGCATCTTTATCTTCAGGCAGCATGGGAGGCAAAGGTAATGGTGGTAATGTAGAAGTCACTAAAGCCACATGTTGCTCCTTCTCCTTGGCTCCTATGCTTGGTGTAAGTGGTTTGGTTTTCTCTTTAAGAGATACTGGTTCCTCCTTTGTAGCAGCAGATTTACTCTCCTTCCCAACTACAACTGCTTTCTTGGTGGCTTTATCTACAATCAAATTATTGTCCACCTTTGTTACCTGAAGAGGTGGCTTTGTTTTTGCCTTGTCATTCTTTAAAGTTCCACCACTTGAGGGAGAAGGTGCATGCTCAGTTTTAAGTTTCTTCACATCCTTCACATGGTTAGTTTGTGATGCGCTGGCACCAGTCTCTGTGTTCCCCTTGGTAGGTGTAGAAGTGTTTGAGGCTTTGGTAGCTTTGGCAGCGGCCTCAGCAGCTTTCGCTGCCTCTGCAGCTCTTGCTGCCTCTGCAGCTCTTGCTTTTTTATTCTTGTTCAATTCAGCTGCCAAGCTACTCTTCAGAGTTAGTGTGCTAGGAGAAATGCTAGAATGACGACTTCTGGATCTAGACAATCTGTGCCTGCTACGAGATCTTGAATGCCTAGATGAATATGGGCTTCTGCTTCGGGATTTGGCAGACCGTCTGGTGGAAAATAATTAAGATTTAGTCAGTAATTCAGAGAAGTTCAGTTTGAAATTTACCAAAACTGCTAACTTGAGCCTGTGAAATAGAACAGAAATTTATTTAATTTCAAAAGCATAATACTATAGTTTTTATGGGAGGATTTTTAAAAAACAAAAAGTGCTTTCAAGTGGAATATTATCTGGTGGCTACAGTTATTCTGAAAATAGACTGACTGTCTTGATCTTGGTCTGGCCTACTAAGGCTCAAATGTGAGGGTGGATGAAAGTAGATTTCTGTGAGAAGAAATACAGTCGACCCTCCCTATTCACGGGTTCCACGTCCGCAGATTCAACCAACCACGGATCAGAAGACATACGACGGTTCTCTCTCTACTGATATACACATACAGACTTCTTTTCTTGTCACTATTCCCTAAACAATACAGCATAACAACTGTTTACATAGCATTTACATTGTACTAGGTATTATAAGTAATCTAGAGATGATTTGAAGTATACAGGAGGATATGCGTCGGTTGTATGTAAATAGTACACCATTTCATATAAGGGACTCAGATTTTGGTATCTACAGGGATCCTGGAACCAACCCCCTGTGAATACCGAGGGAGGACTGTAAGAATTAGGGGGAAAAAGTGTGACAAGGCATTACTGTTATCTCAGAAAATAGAAGTAGGCAACAAGGATGCACCAATTGCAGCAGTAGAGGGTGAAGTCTGACCAATCTTCAACCAGCGAGAGAATCTCTACATCTCAAAAGCACCCTCACCTGTAAGTTCAGAATTAAGTAGTGCTCTGTCTACTGCAAGAGTGAAAAAGATGAAACCTGTCATTAGGCAGTAAGTAAAAACAGTCTCTACATCTTGGAAATTACTTAATAATGACTGTGCAATTCACTTCTCAAAAATTACCGGAAAACACAAAAACTAATATATATTTAAAAGTATGGTGGCAATCAAAGTTCCTATAAAACAAATGCAGCACAGCACCAAGAGAAATAAAGCTGAGCTTTTCAAATCCACACCTTAGCAAAACTTAAAAAAAAAATACTCACAAGACAAAGGCACTGTGACAGTACTTTGACATGTTTGACATATCTCATTTAAAACCACATCAACCCCAGTCAAGTATCTGCAGTTTACAGACAAGAAATTGAATCTAAAATGTTATCTGAAGTCAATCCCATACTCATTAATAGCTGCACTGATTATTATCTTACTGCCACTACCCTGTCTCTCCAATATTCTTCAGCCCTATGCTGTGCCCAAGGAGGCTGACCTCAACAGATGCATCTTATGGGTTCCAGTGATATCTGTCACTAGCAGAAGATCAAAAGGCAGAAAAGGCTGGATTATTTCTTCCTAGCTCCCTCCCTCCTCTTGGCCACATTTTCTGACAGAAGCTGTGTCCCTCTACTACCACAGCCCGTGTCAGGCACCCCCTTCTCCACAGCTCTCACCAGGCTCTAATAACACTATATTTCCCTTGCCCCTTTGAGCTTCCCTCTATAACTAGTGAAAGCATCCCTTGTGGGTTCCCTTAATCCACCCCTATCTCTGTGGTCCTTCATTAAAGTCTCTTAAACCATCTGAGTTGAATTCAGTTTCCCTCTAGAACCTTGTCTTATCTAGTTGTATGCCAGGTCTTACACTCAGATCTTTTGACTCTAAAGTAGGTAAGTTAACACAATTAATACATTAACACACTGCCAAGGAGATAGCTTTGCTGGAAGTTATGGGGAGAGGGTAAATGAAGCGAAGAGATTCCTAGGATCCCGTAATTAAATGGGCAGAGAAAAGGAAAAACTGGAAATACTTGTATATATCTGACATTAATATAATATGGGGCAAAAGTTAAACATTCTACAATTGTAGTATGAAAACAAATGATGATTAGGTTTAGAATAAACGCAAATACAATTCAACTTCTCCCTTGTTCTCTCGAAAACATTTCAAAATGTACACAGGGCCTACTAGCGTTCAGCATTGAGCTAGTGTTTCATACAAACCCCATACTTTACACAAAGTATTTATGTAACATTATTTTAGATTAATGGGACCACTGGTTTAGAACACATTCTAATATAAGGCTTGCTTATCATTAAATATTCATATACACCAATCATTAAAATCACCCACCTTGTAAGCTCATGATGTCTTACTAAAAGAACTGAAATGGATAGTAGATAGCAAGCCCTTGTTTTATAGATAAGATTTTTCTTCTTTTTAAAAATGTTTTTTCTAATATTTCTGTACTGTAGAATCTGCAGCGAACACATAATACCTGTTTCTTGTTTGTTTTTAATGTTTTTAAGAAGTTATAGGATCTCTTTCAAAAGTTAAGAGAACTTTTTATGTTTCTAAGAAGGTTTCCCAAATTCATACAACACAAAGCAGAACCAGGATAAAATATCCAGTTTCCTGAAACCCAACTGGTTAGTGCTGTTAATTAGGTTAGTGTTCCTTAGGGAAAGAACATAGTTATTGTTCACTCGACTATATCACAGTCTCTCCAAGAGCCCAGATCTTCTGAAATTTTGCCTAATTAACAAACACTCATTCTTAAAAATTTTACTATAATAATATCTAATCCCTCATTACGTAAAATAATATAGAACAGCACTATCCAATAGAACTTTCTGGGATGACAGAAATGTTCTACACATGTGATGTCCAATACAGCAGCCACTACTCACAACATTTTTTAGCCTAATTCTTGTACCTTGCTTATTTCACATGCTAAAAGAAGCTATGTCCATTTCAAAAACTTGTTGATAACCCTTCTAAAAAGGTACAAAAATGCTTCCCATGCAAAGACGGTTCAACATATGCAAATCAATAAAAGTGATACACCATATTAAAAAAATAAAGAATAAAAATCATATGATAATCCCCATAGATGCAGAGAAAGCATTTGACAAAATTCAACATCCTTTCATGATAAAAACGAAACAAATTGGGTATAGAAAGAACATACCTCAACATACTAAAGGCCATATATGACAAGCCTACAGCTAACATCATACTCAACAGTGAAAAGTTGAAAGCTTTTCCTCTAAGATCAGGAACAAGACAATGATGCTCACTCTTGCCACTCTTATTTAACACAGTATCTCAAGTCCTAGCCAGAACAATTAAGCAAGAAACAGAAACAAAAGGTATCAAAATTGGAAAGGAAGAAGTAAAATTTTCTGCTTGCAGATGACATGATCATAAAGATAGAAAATGCTTCAAGACTCCACTCAAAGCTGTTAGAACTAATAAACAAATTCAGTAAAGTTGAAGAATACAAAATCAATATACAACAATCAGTTGTGTTTCTATAAATTAGCAACAAACTATTGGAAAGAAAAAGCAAGAAAACAATCCCATTTACAACAGCATCAAAAAGAGCAAAATACTTGGGAATAAATTTACCCAAGGAGGTGAAAAAAATTTAAGATAAATAATAAATGGAAAGATATTCCATTTTCAGGAATTAGAATAATTAATATTGTCAAAATGCCCAGACTACCCAAGGAATTTGCAGACTCAATGCGATCCCTATCAAAATTCCAATGACATTTTTCACAGAAACAGAAAAAACAATCCTAAAATTCAAATGCAACCACAAACGACCCCAAAAACAATCTTGAGAAAGAAGAACAAAGCTGGAAGTATCACACACCCTGATTTCAAACTATATTACAAAGCTACAGTAATCAGAACAGTATGGTATTGGCATAAAAACAAAGACATAGATCAAGAGAACAGAATGGAGAGCCCAGAAATAAACCCATGCATCCAGTCATACCTCAGTATCTGTGGGGGATTGGTTCCAGGAACCCCCACGGATACCAAAATCCATGGATGCTCAAGTCTCTTATATAAAATGGCCTAGTACAGTGAATACAGTTGGCCCTCCTATCCGCGGGTTTCACATCCGCGGATTCAACCAACCACATGCAAAACTCACGGATACAGAGGGCCGATCGTACATGGTGAATTAATTTTCAACAAAGGAGCCAAGAATATGCAATGGGGAAAGGATAATCTCGCTAATAAATGGTGCTGGGAAAAGTGGATAGCCACATGCAAAAAAATGAAACTGGACCCTTATCTAATATAATATACAAAAATCAACTCGAAATGGGTTAAAGACTTGAACAAAAGACCTGAAACCGTAAAACTCATAGCCAGAAACACGGGGTAAGCTCCTTGACATTGGTCTAGGCAATGATCTTTTGGATTTAACACCAAAAATAAAGGAAACAAAAGCAAAATTAAACAAGTGGGACTACATCAAACTAAAAAACTTATGCACAGCAAAGGAAATCATCAACAGAATGAAAAGGCAACCTATAGAATGGGAGAAAGTATTTGCAAACCACATATCTGATAAGGGGTTAATATCCAAAATATACAAAGAACTCATACAACTCAAATAGAAAAAAAAAAAACCCAATTAAAAAATGGACAGAGGATGTGAATAGACATTTTTGCAAAGAAGACATCCAAATGGCTAATAGGTATCTGAAAAGGTGTTCAACATCATCACTACTCACCAGGGAAATGAAATTCAAAACCACAATGAAATACCACCACACATCTGCTAGAATGTCTATTACAAAAAAGAGGAGATGATAAATGCTAGCAAGGATGTAGAGAAAAGAGAACCTTTGTAAACTGTTGGTGGGAATGTAAAGTGATACAGCCACTATGGAAAACAGTATGGAGGTACCCCTAGAAGTCAAAAATAGAACTACCATATGATCCAGCAATTCCACTTCCGGGTATATATCCAAAGGAAACAAAATCACTATCTCAAAGAGATATCTGTACTTCCATGTTCACTGCAGCACTACTCACAATAGCCAAGGTAAGGAAACAACCAAGTGTCCATCAACAGGATGAGAGGATAAAGAAAACTGGGGAGGTGGGGTGGGGGGAAGGGTATGTATGTACATGCCTGCGCATGCTTATAAAAATGGTGGAATATTATGCAACCTTAAAAAAAGAAGGA